GTCCCAGCTACTTGGGAGGCGGAGGCAGGAGACTCGCTTGAGCCCAGGAGTTGGAGGTTGCTGTGAGCTGTAATGCCACGGCACGCTACCCAGGGGGAGAGCTTGAGGCTCTGTCTCAAAAAAAAAAGAAAAAAAGAAAAAGAAAAAAAAACACATCAGAGAACATTATCAAGACCATTAGCGTCAATGACTTCTTGTCCAAGATTTCCAACTGTGTTTGTACAAATAGGAGTTGACAGAAGTTGAAAATAGGAACAAGGAGACTGTCTCTTTCAGGTAGATCCCTGAAACTGAAAGTCATTTTAAACCCTGCCTCTTGCTTACTAAATCCTATGATCCAAACCCTGTATCTCAGGTACCCTACCCTCTGGAACAGCTTTTTGTTTTCTTTCTTTCTTTTCTTTTTTTTTTTTTTTTTGAGACAGTATCACTCTGTTGCCCCAAGCTAGAGCAACCTCAAATCCTGGGTTCAGGCAGTCTTCCTGCCTCAGCGTCTGAGTAGTTGTGTCTACGGCTGCTCACCATCACACTCAGTTGATTTTTTTGTTGTTGTTTGTTTTAATCTTGAGACAGAATCTCACTTTGTCGCCCTCAGTAGAGAGAGCTGTGGCATCATAGCTCACAGTAACCTCAAACTCTTGGGCTCAAGAGATTCTCTTGCCTCAGCCTGCTGCATAGCTGGGACTACAGACACCCACCACAAGGCCCAGCTATTTTTATATTTATTTTTTCTTATTTTTATTTGCTTATTTATTTATTTTTGCAGTTTTTGGCCTGGGCTGGGTTTGAACCCGCCACCTTGGGTATATGGGGCCGGGGCCCTACCCCTTTGAGCCACCCCCAGTTATTTTTCGAGGTGGGGGTCTCACTCTTGCTCAGGCTGGTATGGAACCTGTGAGCTCAGGCAATCCCCCCACCTCGGCCTCCCAGAGTGCTAGGATTATAGGCATGAGCCACCGCACCAGCCTCACTCAGCTAATTTTTAAATTTTTATTAGAGACTAGATCTTGATCTTGCTTAGGGTGGGCTTGGAATTCCTGCACTCAAGCAATCCTCCTGACTTGCCCCTCTAAAGTGCAAGGATTACAAGGGTGAGCCACTGTGCACAGCCTCAAACAGCTCTTCTTTCTTATTTACTGCCTGGGCCTACTGGCTGAGGCTAACCCTATTGGACGTTTATTAATCCCTTAATTTCACCTAGCAGGGAAGGTCTAAGCTTTTCAGACTTTTTCTTTCTTTCTTCCTTTTTTTTTTTT